ACAGTTGTATTTTCACGTACTATACCAATAGTCTGTTCCAAAGAAATATGTGATACAATATCAATAATTTTATTACTCTTGGCAAATGTGAGTGATTAGTAATTATAAAGTTTGATATTTGCTTCTATTATCTTGAAGCAAGTCGAGCGATTTGAATACTACCTTGATCTAAATTTCGCAATATTGACTATTCTGATATATTGAACTGTTGATTTTTGTTGTACCGATGTTAAGTTCCTTTTATAGCTTTCCGCAGGGATATGTTCTTCCCTGTTGACGTATTTTAAAATTATGCCAATATCTTTTTTAACAGTTAAAGGCTATTTTTAGACTATTCGTAAGACCACTATTGAGATAGGATTTATCAATTAGAGGATCGTAGGAATAAGTACACAGAAGTTGTGGTAGACTACGTAGAGATATATAGCCATTTTTATAACTAAAAATTAATTTTTTCACTTTTATATCGCGAACTTATTCAACAATAAAAAAAGTAAATCATTGGAAAATTATACTAGATTTCTAAATACGTAAAATTAAACAATTTTTCTTTGCATACTTTTAGGTGTGTTTTATTCATGACTGCTCCTGCTAATATTGAAAGTTGATCAGTAAATTAAATCAGAATTATTGATTTCATGATATAATAAAACAATTAATTATTGATATCTAATTAGTTCACTATTATATTTAAGTATTTACTAAGCGCAAATATTCAGACTATAACAGTTTGAAAATTTTTTATTTTGCAAAATAAAAAAATACTGGTTAAATTGGTTTAGTGCATTTCAAACTGTGGAAATAAATAAAAGTGGTTTTTTAAAATATTACTTAAGTACTTAAGATTAAATTATTACTTAGTTTAATATGATTTAGTAAAATTTAATAAGATTTCAACAAGATTTATTGTAAATACTTGCTAATGTTAAATCATAAATGTCAATTATTCATTAAAAATCAAGAGCAGTTTCTAGCAATACATAGGTATAGCTCCGTGTCGACAGCGAAGTGAATGGCGCTAGATGCACTGGATTGGCATATTGAGGATAAGACTCGATGGATGGATTCTTTCTTAAGGCCACACTAAATTAATTTCGCATGAACTGTGCTTAGTTGTGCGCGTATCTTTTTTTCTATTTGAGGTGGAATCTTCTACAGATGCTATAAAAGCATTCCCGATTCACACTGTTCTCTACCACCCTTCCTCGAGTTTACGCAGGTACGATGCTTTGGGTTTATGCCAAAATTGTGATGCAGTGCGCCTACTGACTAAACCTTAACCTTTGTAATTAACGCTACCCTTTAAAAAATGTCCTGCAGGGCCGCCAATTAGGTATTACTTCTCGAGGACAGGGCGAGCTGCAACACTCTATTTCTCAACTATCACTTACTTAGTTGTGTGAGTATAAAAATATATGAGAGAAAAATAACGAAGAAAGTATCTGCACATGTGATGGCTTAATACTCTTTCTAATCGCCAAGACTTATGTATATTTTAATGCTAAAAATTGCCATCACTGTAGGAAAATATTTTATATACTATTGGTCCACGCCACACTTGAATTAAATTGAGGCTTAAGATTAGTTTTTATAACAGTTTTCGCACAATTTACTGCATTTCATGGATTCAAATTTGACTAATGAAATGATCCTATTAAAAAGGTAATGGAAACCAATATCTGCACAACATTTTCCTTCAATCTTTTCAATCCTTAATTATTACTTAAGTGTGACTGGGTATTAGATTCGACAACTGTAACCAATATAACAAAGAAAATGAAGTGTGAAATTATCATTTTGTATTGAAAAAGCATAACAACAACAAAACATTTTGTTTTAAAATTAGTGTGTTTAAATCCTCCATTGAAAACTTTTGTAAAGATGGAACAAAAAATCGAAGCGTCCCATCCCAAAAAAATATTCCACTGGGATGGTGAAATATATGTGGATGTATTAATAAGCAATACTACATTTACGATATGACTTGGAAGAAAATAGAACAGGAAGAAAAAAAGAAAGAAAGAAAATTATTGTCTACAACGAATCCAATTTGTACAATTTTAGACAACTTCTATGTTGTAATTTTAGTATTGACTAATAGATGGCGGGTTCCACGAATTTATAGAACAACCTTAAAGAGTTCAAAGGACTGTAGCATGTATTACATTTAATATATAAATAATTTCATAATATTAACATTTTTATGTTAGATGCTTGATTTTTTATACACGAGTCACGGTAATAAAACTAGATCGCCCCATCAATCGACACATTTACTTCAAGGAGAATAAAAAATATTTTCTTATGAATAAAATCCACAAAAATACATATAAACATTTTTACACGCTTTGTATCTTAGATAAAGCAATTTTTCTATTGAATTATAATAAATATTAAATTTTTATTATTATTATTAATTAATATTTAATGTTTAATATGCGCCTAAGGCATTCCTTACTACTATCGTAAAAATTTTCTTACTCAATACATCGCTGAGGTTACAAGCCTTGAGAAAAGTTCAGTTATTTTTTGGCAATTAAACAACAACCAATTTAATATTAACAATAAAAATCACAACAACAACAATAAACAATTTATGAAACAATGTGCAAATAAGCAACAAATCTGAAAAAACCTATTAAAACCGATAAGTTCGAGTTAAAAGTGAAAAAAATATACCAAGTACGGAAAGTTAAGATCTGCTGCGGTGCATATTACGAGTACGAGTCCATAGCGCTGATGGCACAGCTGGAGTGTTTGCTGCTGGTATTGGAATAAAACTCAACATCATCATAATTATCATCACCATCATCATCATTCTGCGAATAGACAACATCTCATCGATCATGTAAGTCAGAGTTAAAACGCATTTTCATTTGAAGAGTAGCGAACACTTCCAATCGATGATGATGTGTTCCCTTGGAAAGGTCAAACGCGCATGGGTGAATAGGGCATGCTGTCTTTTGTTGGTTGCCATGATGATGGAGTAGTAAATATCGGTACTGTGGAATATTATTACAAAAGTAAGTTTATGAAACGAGATGAAAAAAATAAAAATAGTAATATTTTTTTTCTATTTGGTACATTTCTTTATTGTTGCACATTTCTGCTACAGACGGCTCTGCAAGGGAATTTGCGAATTTATGTCCAACCGAAAACCTTTTCAATTTGATAGACTTTTGATTGCATTTGAAAGTTCTTCTACGAGTTTCTCAAGACCGTAAACTCCCACAATTGTGTTGAAATTGTTGTTATTTATTTGTCTTGCAAGTCCATAAAAATTGGCCATAAGGAAGTCAATCCATCGAGTTGACATCATTCGTTTCGCAAATTTGTTTTCTCATATAAATTTTGCTAAAGCATCTCTTAAAACAAATTAAATAATTTATTGACATTTGCCATGGTTCACTTGAACAAACAAATTTATTTGAAAATTGTGAAAAAAGTATTTTGAAAAATGTTTAAAACACAAAAAAAATTAAATTTATAATAAAAAACTTATTTGTTAATTGCGGAGTGAGGTGTGAAAATGATACTAAAACTGCAAATGCGAGTTCCGCGTATTATGGATTCAACGCTTTTTTGAATGAATCCGTTGAGGAAAGCCTGAAATTAAGATATAAATGAAAAATTAATTTAATGTTAATTTAGTATTAAATTGTATAAACAATTCAAAGTGGTTGCAAAAAATTTATTTTATTTAATAATTTAAACAATTTTTATCTATTATTATTTATTTATTGTAAATACTTAATATAAAATTGCACGTAAACTTAAGAAAATTTTAAAAAATATGTTAAAATAAATAAAATACAATCAAAAATGAATCAAATTTTATTGTAGTAATTTTTAATTTAATAATACAATTAAATTAATCAATTAATCAAAATGTACATAAATTAAATAAATAAATTTGCACGCTTATTTAAAAAAAAATTATGAAAAAAAGACATAATTAAATAAACATTTATAAAACTGAATAATGAATAAAAATATTATTGTAATTATTTTATATTTAATAAAATAATCAATGAAAGTAAATAACCAAGTGAATTATAATAATAAACTTAAATTGTAAAAATATAAAAAGATTTATACAAAGATATAATTTGTGTTCCCCAGTGGATTCACTTAGGTCTATTGGTCCATTGAGTTACCGTATATATAGAAAAAAATTCAAATTTTCAAACTCAAACCATCTAGAACCATTGACGAAGCCTAAAATGCTATTAAGTATCAGGTCCTATAATTGGTCAAAATTCTCATGAAAGGGGGCCCCTTAAGTATTGAGTCGCCGCAGTGCATGAGCTGGGCAAGATGAGAGGCATTCGCATCGTGTTCCCCACAGCTGCGACAGATTTGATTGGTTCCGTAGTTTAGAGTGACCTGTAAGTAGACCTACCAACAGACCGATGTTTCTACGGGGCATCTCAATGTGAATTTTGGATTTCCATTTATTGGAAAGTGGCCAGATTGCATACAGATGCCTTCATATCGTTGAGTCTTCCCATCTTTTATTAAAAGTTTCAGTACAGAAAGAACTCAGCAACAATTTACATGATGTTAACGAATGTTCAGATTGTTTAGGTGTTCCGAATATGGTCCTGAAACACTTTTTCTGGCTATCTCGTCTGCTCTGCAATTGCTGAAAATATCCCTATGGCTATAGCTGCGTTGACATTTCGTTTAGAGATGTGTAGTAGTCAAAAATCGTCCTAGATGTAAAATGGACTGAACTCAATGAGTTTAAAACAGCTTGACTGTCTGATAGTATGTATATATTCTTGCCAAATATATCACCTAATCTGTAGTTCTTATATTGTGAAGTATAGGTCTTTGACTCCAGAATCAAAGAAAATATAATTTTTTAATATTTTAATATGCATATTTTTTAATTTTTGAATATAGTATAAAAACTTTTCTAAACATAATTGTCTTAGTAAAATTTATCAAAGTTTATATTACATAATTTTTTTTTATAATTCGATAGATTAGTTAAAGTATTTCATTAAAGTTTTTTTTCTGATTTGATTAAATTTTAGTGGTAAATGATATTTGGCAATCAAAACGATAGGTATCGCTATAAATTTTTAAATTATTTTGGATAGTCTACATTGTTGTCTTCAACCCTAGGCAATAAACAACAAATTGAGATTTTGACCCTTTGAGAATGTTTTGAAGTGGAAAGCTATATAGCCACAAGTACTCCTGACTAACAGTTTTAAAAAATGTAAATGGCTTTTATTTTAACTTTTAAATGAATTGCAAATTTAGTGATTTCTTATATCTACTAAACTAATATTTCAGTTGTTTAGATGCGTTTATTAAGAAAGTCGAAAATGAAGCGAGTGAAGAATCCAACTAATGTTAAAATAATTACTCCAGCTTACCGTCTCTTTCTACAGAAACAGGCGCGTGCTGAAGAAGAAGAACTGCAGAACTCTTTTACTGCAATGTTTGAAAAAGCTCGTTTGTCTGGTGTATTGGATCTCTCCAAAAAAGATTTGGCTACAGTGCCTAACTGCGTTTACAACATCTATAAAAAGAATAAAAAAAATGCTATAGAGGAGACCATCACAAAGTTTGAACAGTTATACGCCGGTATGTCCATATTTGAGCTAAATCTGTCAAAAAATAAACTACAACACATCTCGGCTGATATTGGCAACATCGAACCTCTTACGAGACTGAGATTAAATAACAATAATATTTCTTCTTTACCCAATACCATCGATAAACTACGCAGATTGGCTTCTGTTGATTTGGGCAACAATAAATTGACAGAGTTGCCTTGTAATTTTTACAATTTGGTCAATTTGCGTAACCTTGTGTTGTCGAAAAATTCACTAAAACACTTGGATGATGGTATAGGAAAGTTAGTGTATTTAGAGCAATTAGACTTAAGGTATAACAAATTGTCAGCATTACCGAACTGTCTTGGCAATTTAAAGCAGTTAAAGGAATTGTTATTATCGTTCAACTACCTCACTACACTACCACCTTCTATAGGGGATTTATGCTCACTGGATAAGCTGGAAGTAACGAATAATAACTTGACTTGTTTACCGATGGAGATAGGAAGATTGTTGCATTTACGTTATCTCTGTTTGCAGCACAATCAGATCAAAAACTTGATGCCAATAGTGGGGTGTGCAAGAATTTCGGAATTATATGTCGCAAATAATTTAATTCAAAAGTTGCCATTAAGATTTGGACAAAATTTAATTGTACTTAATATGCGTAGAAATAAACTGACTGAGTTGCCAAGAGATGTAGGCAACATGAAGTACTTGATCAGATTAGATATTTCGCATAATAAAATACAGAAGCTGCCTTGCACATTGGGTACATTAAAATTCCTTCTAACATTGAACTTCGAGGGAAATCCTATCAATGCAATTTATCGTGATCTTAGAGTTGCTGAAGAGCCACGTGCTTATTCACTGATTACAAGATCACATAGCGCCCATAAATTTAAAATGATCTCGAGCAGTGATCACACTGAGATATTCTTGCAACCAGCCAATCACAAGGGATGTATAACGGCAATGAAAACTGAACGTGAATTCGGCGGAGCTAATTTTGCTAGTAGAAGCCTATCTGAATTACCGATTGAATTCGAATTTATATGTCAATGCGCTCTAGACTTAGATTTGATGGATAGGCCCAATAGTCCGTTAGCTCCGCCTTTTATACAGCACTTTATGAATATTAAACGAATGAATTTATCCCACAATAATCTACGTGACTTGCCGTTCGCTTTTAGCGTACTGACGAAGTTAAATGAATTGAATATATCTGTTAATCAGTTCAAACATATACCAGCTGGCGTATATAAGCTACATAACCTGAAGGTACTCAATGCCTCTAATAACAAACTTATTTCGCTTGACTTTTCGGCAAGTGGATTTGAAGCTTTAGAGAATTTGAGGGTTTTGCGTGTTAGAGCTAATAAAATTACAAAAATACCTGTGCAATTAATTGATATGAAGAACTTAATTACATTGGATATACTGAATAATCCTCTACTACAGCCACCACGAAATGTAATTATGAAGGGCACAAATGCTATTAGAAACTATCTTAAATTTAATAAGCGTTTATTGTAGGCTCAAGAGTAGATTTGAGCATATCCTGACTGTGTTTACATCTACAAAATTTAAAGTTTAAGCAGATGGAAGAAAAATTGAATGTATTTTTTGATGTGATGTATATCATAATGGAATTTCAAAAAAAAAATAATATATTCAAAATTCTAAATAAAAAATTTTTTTAAATAAATTAATATAAATTAATTGTTTTCTTTAAATTTTTATATCTAGGACTAAATAAATTTATTAAGTAATCCTAGTTATATTTTCTAATACAGTTAATTAAATATCCTTAAATTTATTAGAGAGTAAAACATCATGTAATGACTATTACATTATTATTAAAGTTTTGACGTGAAATCGCCCAACAGCCGGTACTACGGCCAGAAGAGTCCTATTGTACCAATTTCACTATTGATTGCACAAAGTCCTTTAAAGCTTTGTGAACAAAGTCCAGAACTAAATCTAGAGAAGAGCTCTTTATCTGTTCTGGTGACAGAAATTCCATATGAAACAAGTTTTTTCTGTGCGTTATTAAAGCTTGATATTCACAAATAATATGTTTAGTAGTTTCATCATCTTCGAGGCATAATCTGCATCCGAATTAGCAGATAATCGTAGTTTATGAAGGTGATATTTCAGGCTATAATAACCTGTAATGAATCGTTATTAATTTTAGATTGCATTTTGAGAATCTGAAAATGTTTTGTAAGAGTTTTTGATGCAGTTCTGGCTAGCTCATCAGCTTGTTCATTTCCCAAAACTCCTCTGTGACCCGGCACCCAGTAAAGTTTTACTATATTCCGAGTTGCAAGTAACAGTAGGAGCTCATAATGCTCAAGGACCTGTTTCGACTTGAAAGTTCAAGAAGACAGAGCTTAAAGAGCAGCCAGAGTAAATAGCAATTCTCGAGCCAGACATTTTTTTGATGATATTGTAAGATTATAAGTGGGTGACTAGGATTCTAAGTGGATCGAACTAAAAGAAAATTATTAAATGAATTAAACCCGACGAATAAAGGCTATGAAATACGCACTTGTTTGTATTGCATATAGATTATGGACCCAAACCCTAGTCGAAAGATAACTGATAAATAAACAATATATATGATATACAATATTATATATAATAAATTTTATGTTCTCAATATATTTAATTTATTGTATTTCCGTGTTTTATTCTACTCAATAAATGCAGTTGAAGACTTTATAGATACGCGATTTTTATAGAAATAAGCATTCTAGGGTGCTTAATTAGTTGGAAGAGTACCATATCCTCATCAGTAGTATAACTAATACTTTGAAGTCATATTAACTTTGTGTTCAATTTTAATTTGATATGTCAGTGTTTTTGGGTAAATTTGAATAAATTGATTATAGTGCAGGTATTTTAATGTTTGTTTGGAGATTAAAGAACTATATCATTATCAGAAACCATTTTAAAAATATACAATATGGTTATAGAGGATTGTCGATTGACCAAAAGAAATTTAATGGAAGATCTAAGTATAATATTTAAATAAGAGTAGTGTCAAGTCGCCGGTTTCAAATTTTTTTTAATGAATTTATCGCCCAGGGCAATAGAATGGGGTGTGGGAACTAAAAACTCAAAGGGAAGGCAAGTCTTAAAAATGGTTGCCAGACTAGATTTTATAGTCGCAAATACGGGCATGACTCCAACTTTTAGAAGGAAAGAATGTCAAGAAGCTATTCCAGATATCATACATCAGACGGGAAAGCTATAGTTTATAGTAAGCTTAACTATTGGAGAGTCTTAGAGGACTAGAGATCGACCATCATATTGTATACAGCCCAAGATAATAGCGACTGATGATAGCAGCATAAGAGAAATCCACAAATGGAATGTTGCGAAACTAAAAATAAGAAACTTTCTGAAAATAATTTATGTCGCACAACAATTTCTCTGTTATTACCTGTAAGAGAGCTGCTCATTTCTCTTCAAAATGTCTAAGACCCAGCACACTTTGAGTTACAAACGTTTTCCTGCATTTCATCTGAAATTGCTTGAACACATTTCCTGTGCAATACTGCTAGCAGATAGTAGATACCCTAGAGCCTCCACGAGTACTTCATGTTTCTATTTAAAGCGGTCGTAATGTTCTGCACTTTCAGCGACGTTGTGGTACCTTTGGCAGTAGGGACTTTCTGCCCAATCTGCATGGATTAATCTTTGAAATTTAGATTGTTAATAATCTGATAAATTTATAATCTTTATCGGTAATAATTTTTGCAGATGTGTGCGATAATTGTATACTTTAGGAAAGGCAAAATTCCTACTTTTATAAGATAATCTAAGTTGTCATTTCGGTTGCACCTATTCATGTATAGTACTCATAATACTTTGTGGATTTTAAACGCAATCCACAAATATATATAAACTTTGTTAATAGTTTATTCAATCGTCTATATCAAAGTCTGATCTGATTTTTTGAAGTAAGTAGAGGGAAATTTTCTATCAAGGCCGCAATTCGCCATCTTCTTGGATTATCATAATACTGAAAATCCATCCTAGAGCCAATAGCAATATATGTTTAAGATGAGAAAAATATGTATTATCTTAATTCAAATTTATTTATATTCGTGAAGGCACTTCAGTGGTGGTTATGCAACTTTTTCCACACACTCATAGTCATTGGAGACTGGTTTGCTGTGAACTGCACAATTTAGCCCACATTTCGGAGTTGAGGGAATTTGCTGCATCCAAATATGCAGACAAACCAGACCAAAGTTGAGGATTAGTCGCAATAACTTCAGTGGATTTGTGTCAGTAAGTTTGTTGGAATGAAAGTATTTGCATTAAGCAAATTTTTAGCTTGTTTTGACTACAATTGATGAGATTTTCGTTCAAAAAGATGTTTTTTCTTCAGATTTAGAGAAATTACTCAAAAGTTCGAAAGTTCATTTCTGAGCCATAAATTTTATACGCTTAAATATTATATGTTTTTTGTATCGTAGTTGTTTATGAAATGTATTTATTTTTGAAAATGTTTTTATTTTAATTATTTTTGTTTTTTATACGCTAGTTAATCAAAAATTGGTTTTAAATAGTTTAAGTATTTAACCAAATATTTCATTTATATGTATACTTCAGACTTAAAACCGTATATCAACTTATTGTAATAATAATATTATAATAAGTTGACCTATAACAAATTCAAAATAATTTCTATTTATTACAATAAACGAAACATTACTTTTTAATTTTATTCCTGATTTATTCTTTATATAGACTAATCCAGTCTAACATGAACAAATTCGAACTAGTACACAGAAATTAGGGCAAAATTCGATATGGACGACTTTTTGCGCATCAACATAAATTTGTGGTCAAAAGTGCTTTTTATTCATAGTGTTATTAAAAAATTCTCATAAAATGGTAGAATTTGGAATACTTAGACGTTAGCCGGTAACGGCCTGACGTAGCATATCTCTCCAGTTCGAAGAGACTTTCAGATACAATCCTGAATCAATAATATCTTTGCTTACCATTCAGTTATGTCATGATGAATTAATAATGATTAGATATATGCATATATATTGACCCTCAAGTACATTTAGGGAGTGTTGAAGTTTCAGCATCATCTATAATCTACCTCTATGCGAGGCTGACGTACTGCCATCAATCTAAACATATTATATAGACGCAATATCACGGAGGCATGATTACTAAGTTGGTTGAATGACATGGTCTTGATTTAAATGATATGTGACTTTAGGAAGGTGGTATATTATAGTATAACATAAATTTCTTGAAAGAAATGTTCAAAATAATTAACTTTTAGTTGAATATCCCTTTGATCACTGCTTTACATTGCCTATCATATACTAACATCCAGGCCATGCTATTGTTGTTATTATCTCAATAACAATTGAATTAATCCTCAAAGTTACTAATAGTAATTTGACTAATATCAAGAAATTGTGTACATGAAATATAGAAAAATATATTAATATACATATAAAATAAGTTTGTATTTGTTTTTACCAAAAGGTTCCTAACCACAAGATCCATTTGCATACTACGTAGTCTTTATATAAATTAGTTAAAGATAGGTTACAACATTTTTACTTAAGATCAATATTAAGAATTGTTAAATTTAAAATTTCTTCTAAAATCAACGAATTATACTTATTCTAGGTAATTTCTATATAAAAGAATGAAATACGAACTTTAAACCTTAAGACCTATAAAGTGGTATATAATATAGGTACAAGTTTTCACTTTAAAATCATCCGTATGAAATGACGTTAAACCGGAGATAGGTCTGTTACTTACAAATCAATTGAGAGCTATATAAATATTTTATAAAAATTAAAAGTTATCCAACTGATTCTTTTTTTAAAGTTGGTATATCCAATATAATCTAATATACCCTTCAGGTGATATGGGGATACATAACTGAAATTTTTGTAATAGTTGATGCATCTAATACACTTTAAAAGTTATATCAGTTGATATACTAGTAAAAGATTTTCTTCAGAAGCTCTCATATAAGGTGAAATCAAATCGGAGACGAGTCCTTACTGACAATATCGTTAGACATTTCTAGAAGATTTCTAGCGTAATCCCGGTTTTCTAATCCCATGCATTTCCATCACTTTCTTTCTCTTTTTTGCATAACAGTTCTGGGTGAACCAGTACTATCTCCATGCATGTTCATTATTCCCACAATTTTCCTTTTCTTATTTTATAAGACTTCAAATATATATTTTAATTGAAATCATTTGTTTTCTGTCAGATATAGTAACAGATGTATTTAACAGTTTCCACATGAATATAAATTTATTTTATTTATAAAAATAACTTACATTTAATTATTATATTATTTAATTTAATATATTTATTAAATTGGGAGATGCAGTAAACTGTTATATTATACCTGTTATAATTTGCAGGTCTCCATCAATTATTTATCACAGGAGCTTGAATTTCTTGAAAAATGTGTAAATTATTGTATTTGGAAAATTCATATAAAATGTTTATAATTAAACTTAATAAAAAATATAACTAATTTATACAGTAAATCTTTATGACTTTCAATAATAACCTGAAAATCAAAGAAACCGTTGCAGCCGATTGACACACTTTCAA